GAGATGACTTGGATGGGAAACGAATCACAATAGTGTGCGTTGCATTGGCAATGCACACTGATTACTACACTTGTACAGTTTGGTAATCAGTGTGAATGCCTCACAGCTTCACACTAATCAGATCATTTTCTTCTGTACATTTTTGTCCCCTTTCTTCTTCCACAATTTTATGCTATTTCAACAATTCATATATTAAAACGTTTAGCTCATTCAAGAAATTTCGGCTATGACTTTTGGTATTTCTGCTATTTATACTTTTATTTTAGCTATTTCACTTTTTAGCCACTCTTTTGCCATTAAAAATGAATGGGGCTATTTTCAACAACCTTAAAATCCTTTAAAATGTTTCTAAATCTTTACAAAACCTCACACAATTTGTTCTGGTTATGCTCTTTTTTACTCACTTGTGCAAATTTTAGCTACTTTTTTTGAAATTTTAGTTTTTCTCTGCTATTTCAGCTAAAATTCAGCTTCTTTCTGCTATTATTCAGCTTTTTAAGCTAATTACATTTTCTTATGCTATTTTCTCTGTTAATTTTGAATTGTTTACAACCATTTCACTTCCTGTGTGCTACTTTCAACTTGTGTCTGCAACCTTTAGCCTATTTTATGCTAATTTTAGCTTCTTTCTGCCATTATTCTGTTTTTCTCTACTTTTTTGCTTATTTATGGTCATGTAGGTCAAAAGTTACATATTACATTAGAAAGGTCTTTAAAATGACAATACATCCAGTTTTTAATATAATAAGCTAAATTGAGTTATTTATGCTTCTTGCAGTTGTTTTCTGCCATATTCAGCTGTTTTAGCTTTTTTTTCTGCTATTTTAAAAACATATCTTTGTTCCTTTTTCTGCTAAGTTAAGCTTTTTTTCTTCTTTCAGCTGTTCAAATTGAACTCATATTGTCAAATAATATTTTCAGGTTAACTTCGGTAGCTTTCAGCTAATGTTTTCAGTAAGAGGCATTCACATGAGCATTTTTACAGGAAATGCAGTTTCTCTAGTGATAATTGTTTTTGAGTTATTTTGTGTAAAAGATCAGGACTCAGAGCGATTCATTAGCAGTCAGAGTAAGGAGCTACTTCACTGCAGGTTGATGACATCAGATGTGATTATTATGTTATTATATTTTCCCTCCTTACAGCATGGATATATTTTACAGACACGTCGGCACAACCGCGGTTCCTCCACTCACAGATGTAGTAATACTCCTGGCCCACGTGAAACTCGTAGCCCAGCGAGAAGGCGCTGTAGCGCTGGAACTTCTCGGAGAACTTGATGGGCGCGTGGGGAGCGTGGGGCCGGTTGCACTCCCACCTCTTGAAGCCCAGCTGGGGGTCGCAGTTCCTGTAGCCGCGGCGGCTGACCATGTAGAGGACGTACTGCTCGCCGGTGCCCACCATGCGCTGGCTGTCGTTGTAATGAGGGCAGTAGATGTCCAGGTAGTCGTTGACGTTGACCGTCATCGTGTGGCCCTCCATGTGCAAACTGAAGAACACAAAACACACTTTTTACTGTCCATGCTCACAGCTGGGAGACAGTTTCTTACCTGGAGTAAAGGTTTACTGTCTGACCAGCAGTGGTGGGCACAGCTAACTAAACGTTAACTTTGCTAACTTGTAATCCAAAACAATAGTTTTTCTACACTGCAAAAACTGTCCATCTAACCAAGTTTTAAAATCTTATATCAGCCAAAAAGTCTTTTTGATCTT